GCCACTATATAATTACCCTGAGGACACTGGTCGTTGTGACGCCACTATATAATTACCCTGAGGACACTGGTCGTTGTGACGCCACTATATAATTACCCTGAGGACACTGGTCATTGTGACGCCACTACCTGATACCTAATTAGAGGGAGATAATTACCCTGAGAACACTGGTCGTTGTGACGCCACTATATAATTACCCTGAGGACACTGGTCATTGTGACGCCACTACCTGATACCTCATTAGAGGGAGATAATTACCCTGAGAACACTGGTCGTTATGACGTCACTATATAATTACCCTGAGGACACTGGTCATTGTGACGCTACTATATAATTACCCTGAGGACACTGGTCGTGGTGACGCCACTATATAATTACCCTGAGGACACTGGTTGTTGTGAGGCCACTATATAATTACCCTGAGGACACTGGTCGTTGTGATGCCACTATTACTCTGCACCATTTCCACGTCACGTCGTTTACGTTTGAACATGATACCACAGCCTCCACACCCCCAATCAGTATCATCCTTTTTGGGCTCAGCAATGAGGTCAAACTCCTCCAGAGCATCCAATAACTGTCAACACAAATCATTTGCTGTGTAAACAACTGTTTCCTCCCTATATATATATATATATATATGGGAGGCAATTTCCAATAAATCCTTACATTATTTTCTTATTTAAAATTTAAAATGAAAGAAAAAAACCAAATCAAGGCAATATATCCTCATTAAAAGTTATGTTATTTCAATTTCCAGCTCTGTTCCTGGACTAAAGAATGGTTCATTGCAAATCTCACCGAGATCTATGTGCATGGTTGTATGGTTTTAGTGTTTGGATCTCAATTGTTTTGATGTAATGACCTGAGTATAAGTCCCCAGGGACGGGGCCAAAACCTTGACCTTATCCTTGTAGCATGCTTGTGTTGTTCCTTTATGTCTAGCAAGCACATAAATTATGGGATCTCAGCAAGAACATATATAAGGTCCCTCATCATAGAATATGAGACGGAAATTCTTCAATCTTTTCACCCATTATAGCCTGTGTTAAACTTTGACCCCAACATTAAACTTGACCGTTGACCTAAGTACAATACAAAAGAAAATTATTCACACTACTGATCTACACATCATATCCCCTGTGACCCTGAAAGTATGTCAAGGTCATTGAGTTGAGAACTCTCTATATCATCTCTATCCTAGGTACCTACTGGCAAAATACCATGACTCTGGGCTTTTAAGTTTTGAAGAAGAGGTTTAAAAAAAGTTTCTGATTTGCCATATAAATGAGTACTTTGAAAAGTTGAGAAATAAATCATATTTAAATAAAAAAACAACATTATAACCATTAACTAGAAGAAGGCATTATTGATAAAAAGAGCAATATTGAAGAGAGTTTGTAATGACTCCATTTTGGTATGCGATACTTACACACCTTTACTATGTATGATGTCCTGACTGTGCATGGATCTATATTCTAGGTATATGAAGCCAAGTTCAAAAGTGAAGTAAAGATTGCAATTTTCTTTCTTTCATTTTTTAACAGGACACAGCACCTTCTCATGATAATACCTTGATACCAAGTCTAGTGTCAACATATAAAACAATGGATGAGATAGCTCCAGAAACCTGAATTACTTCAACCAAGATCGAAGGTCGAAAGGTGAGGAGAGGTAATGATGACATCTTATTTATACCTACACACCAAGTCTAGTGTCAACATATAAAACAATGGACGAGATAGCTCCAGTAACCTGAATTACTACATCCAAGATCGAAGGTCGAAAGGTGAGGAGAGGTAATGATGACATTGTATTTATACCTACACACCAAGTCTAGTGTCAACATATAAAACAATGGACGAGATAGCTCCAGAAACCTGAATTACTTCATCCAAGATCGAAGGTCGAAAGGTGAGGAGAGGTAATGATGACATTGTATTTATACATATAGCTACACACCAAGTCTAGAGACCAAACATGACAGAGTGGTGAAGATATGCTCCTGATACGTATGCTTTTGCGTCTGGGGTCAAAAGGTTAAAAGGAAATCTGATGATAGACATTACTGCCATATTAATAAGTAATCAACAATCTGGTAAGTGACTTACATAAATGGATTGTAATATTTACTTGTATGACATGTATATTGTAACTCCTATATGCTATCTGTTGCATTTGGAAATAAAGAAATTGAAATTGAAGTGACATTCCTTTGTACATGGAGTGTGTCAGGTAAAATCTTGGCACACTGTAGATAATGTACCCGACACCTACCTGTGCTAGATCAATGTCGTTAGGCTTCCCCAGGAGTGCTGCTTTCTTGTCGATTGCGCTGACAAACACCACAGAGTTAGGATCCGACACCACTGTCATCTCAGCTACGTCCCCCACTTGTTTCAGGTTATTGTCAAAGCGGACATTCAACTAAAATGACAAAAAAATATCCCTTAACCAATCAGAATACGAAACAATCTCAAACCGTTAAGAATAAAGACAAAAGATTTACTCATGAAAAAAAAATTAAACTATGTTTTGTTGTCACTATTCATAATACCATGGAACACTTTACAACAGAACAGCTTCAGGAACATCCTACAAATACCTAGTAACTCAGATTGTATAACACTTTACAACAGAACAGCTTCAGGAACATCCTACAAAAACCTAGTGACTCAGATTGTATAGCACTTTACAACAGAACAGCTTCAGGGACATCCTATCAAAACCTAGTAACTCAGGTTGTATAACACTTTACAACAGAACAGCTTCAGGAATATCCTTCAAATACCTAGTAATCAGATTGTATAACACTTTACAACAGAACAGCTTCAGGAACATCCTACAAAAACCTGGTAACTCAGATTGTATAACACTTTACAACAGAACAGCTTCAGGGACATCCTACAAATACCTAGTAACTCATGATCAGATTGTATAACACTTTACAACAGAACAGCTTCAGGAACATCCTACAAAAACCTGGTAACTCAGATTGCATAACACTTTACAACAGAACAGCTTCAGGAATATCCTTCAAATACCTAGTAATCAGATTGTATAACACTTTACAACAGAACATCTTCAGGAACATCCTACAAAAACCTGGTAACTCAGATTGGATAGCACTTTACAACAGAACAGCTTCAGGAACATCCTACAAAAACCTAGTTACTCAGATTGTATAACACTTAACAACAGAACAGCTTCAGGGACATCCTACAAAAACCTAGTTACTCAGATTGTATAATACTTTACAACAGAACAGCTTCAGGAATATCCTTCAAATACCTAGTCACACAGATTGTATAACACTTTACAACAGAACAACTTCAGGAACATCCTTCAAATACCTAGTAACTCAGATTGTATAACACTTTACAACAGAACAGCTTCAGGAACATCCTTCAAATACCTAGTAACTCAGATTGTATAACACTTTACATCAGAACAGCTTCAGGGACATCCTACAAAAACCTAGTTACTCAGATTGTATAACACTTTACAACAGAACAGCTTCAGGAATATCCTTCAAATACCTAGTAATCAGATTGTATAACACTTTACAACAGAACAGCTTCAGGGACATCCTACAAAAACCTAGTTACTCAGATTGTATAACACTTTATAACAGAACAGCTTCAGGGACATCCTACAAATACCTAGTAACACAGATTGTATAACACTTTACAACAGAACAGCTTCAGGAACATCCTTCAAATACCTAGTCACACAGATTGTATAACACTTTACAACAGAACAGCTTCAGGGACATCCTACAACAAGAGGCCCATGGGCCTTAACGGTCACCTGAGTCTACAGTATTATTTTTTTTGTTGAAATATGTACCAATTTGAGTAAAAAATAGTAAAATGTTAACTTAACTTTGTCAGGACCATGAGCTGATCATTCCTAGACCAATTTTAAGTGAGATCGGCCTATTAGAATTTAGTAGCAAAATAGCGGCCATGGCAGCCAAATTGTATTTCTGATTGACCCGAAAAATAACAACACTTTGTCAGGACCATGAG